GCCGGGGCGTGACCATATATGTATAATATCCCCCTTAAGTAGATAGAATATGGCTTTGGGTACATTATAACAAGATCCCCATAAGCCCCATGTTCTATCTCCTTAAAAGGGCTATAGTTATTGCAGTTTCCATTACATTTTCCATTATCCCTATGTAAACCCCATATATACCCTATTACACTATGTAGCAGTTTCCATTTTCTTTTCCATTGTCCCTATATAACCCCATGATAACCCCAATATGTACCCTATAATCCCTATATAACCCATTATAATAGCTTCCATTGTCTTTTCCATTATCCCCATTAATACAGGTCCTAAAGCATTTTGACATCCCCCAACCTCCAGCTCCCAGCGAACGCCGGCAGCCTCACCGTTGCCCAGCAAACCAGGCCAAGGCAAACCCAGAGTCGCAGGCGCCGGCCCGGACCAAGGCTTTGGCACACCATGGGCTACGGATCTATAGGGATAATCTATTTATATATTGGGGTTATATAGGGATAATGGAAAAGAAAATGGAAACTACTATCATAGGGTTTAGGGTTCAGGGCTTAGGGTAATTGTTGGAGGCCTGAAAATCAAAGGAGGTTGCTTCAAAGTACTTGGGGGCTCTGCTGAGAAACTGGAACCCAGACTTAATGGGGAGGTATGCTTTAGTGGATTTTGTTCCCGCCCTTGTAAACAACCCGAAGAATGAGGCAAGTCTGCAATGACAACGAGGAAGGCTTTACTGCTTCGGACTTCTCAGTCAGCTGGTGCGGGTCTGGTGGTGGAAGTTCATTTGACCAAAAGACTGTACATGGACACATGAAGCCTTATATGGAAGGGCTCTTTTGTTTGGGATGCCGACATCTCGAGTTCAAACGCTCGCCTCAGGTTTGCAGGGGAGGTTGCGCAGTCACAGTCACTTTTGGGTGGAATTTCACAACGTGGTTTCCAAGTATGTCCCGGACTAATCTATCCTGCAAGTGTTGCGGGAGTACAGACGCAAGAGTCCCTCCACAGGAGGTGCACCGTAGTTGTGCCTTCTTTTCTGCTATCAGGACCCAGGTGAAACCCAATCCTGACGCATCTCCATCATCGGGTCATGAAGGAGCAGGACCAAAAGCAAGAAAAGTGATGCAGCAAAGCTAGGGAAGGTACATGAACTCATTTTTGAAATCACGCTCAGGAGTACCAAGCATGAATGAAGCGCAGCATCCCCAGCTGCGATTTACCCTCTCCCAGGCTAACAGGGAATCCCCAAAAGTGTTTCACACAAACTACTGCTCTCTTCAAAGGCAGCTATATGGGCTTCCAAGCAAGTGTGGGGGAGGGTACCCCTTCTGCCTCCATGCTTGTAGAGGCGTGTGTCAGGTCTGCTCTGCAGATGTACAACCACGGGCCCTCTGTTTTTTTTTTTGGTCAGGAATGCTGGATGGATAGGGCAACTATAGGTCCCCTACCAGGACTCTCCTTGTACCCGTTACAAGGGGGGTTTAAGGTCCGGTATATAGAGTCTAGAGGGTAGATAGAGGGTCTAGGTAGATAAGCTTACAGATACTGTTGATCCAAATATCTCAAGTTGAGGGTCCGTTATTGCACGGTGACACCACGTACCCGCAAAAAACCTGTCATCGGAGCCTCGCTAAAGTTCACTGGAGGCATCCTGGCTCCCACCTTCAGCCGTGTCTCTCTCTCTCTCTCTCTCGGGGGATATAGGGGGATGTAAGGGTAACATAGGGATAATGGAAAAGAAAANGGAAACTACTGTTTAGGGTTTAGGGTTTAGGGTAAGGCTTATGTTTCCCTTTGGAATTTTCTTCGAGTTGCTGGGACACTACTCGAAGGGAGAATGCTCCGTATGCACCACCAAACACACAGTAATGCCGCAAGCAGCCGTTTCCTCTCTAATACTCTTGCATAATGCTGCGCTCGACATCATCTTTTCCCCCAAAATACCCGTGCTTCCCTGCTTTTAGACCCCCGGACCTCAAACCCCAAACCCAACCCCCTATTCCAAAGAATATGGTCTAAGGCAATGAACCACTACAACCCAACAAACCTTTTCTTAAAACACCACAAAATTTCTGACCTCTACATCCAGGCGTCAACCTATGCAAAGGGAGCTGCCTGGGTCTTCCTTGGAGGGCTCTGTGTCTACGACCTCGAGCTGGTCCTCCATGGTCCATTATGCTAGGGTATAGTCCCCTTTAAGTAGATAGAATATGGGGTATATGGGGATCTTATTATAATATACCCAAAGGCATATTCTATGTACTTAAGGGGGACTATAGGTTTCGGTGGCACTACAAGTCTCTTTTTGCTTAGATGTAGGGTGATAAACAAACTTGATTCTCGAACTGACCCCTGTTTAGAGCTTGTAGGGTTTGGGAATTGGTGGTTTCCAACAACTAGGGCCCCCCTTCCGTGAGTCCCCACAGTGAGACTTATGTTGCTTTGGGATATATGAGGCCGACTCCCATCCTGGAGATGCCAATTCCCAATTTTGGGCTCACGGCTTTTTTGACCGCCGTTTGAGTTTTAGGGTCTGGAGTTTAGGGTGTGGATTTTCAGGTTTAGCTGGTTGGGCCAAACGCTTAGGGGTTTGGACCCTCAGGTTTACACTCGAGGGATCTTTTGAGAACCCCAGAACAGAGTATGCGACAAGTAAACCTTTTTTAAAATATACGGAAACCCATACCCCCAAAAGTAGAAAGCGCACCATTGCAGTCGAGCAGTCCCCAGTCCAAAAAGTAGAAAGCGCACCGTTGCAATGAGCGAAGTCCCCGGTCAGTAAGACGTGAGACTTGCTAACTAATTGGTCAGGACAGGACTACGTCGAGAAGAGTTAACCAGAAGTCATTT